GATGCACTGACCTCTATAGGCAGTACTGTAAAACCATGCCGTACAGTTCCCTGATTGCAAAAACATATGTCAATCCGCGCAAACTCCAGGTGTATCACAGTCCCATATATTTTCTGTTCCTAGATTGAACTTGGCAAAATCTTCATTACCCTCTGGTAAACTAACATAGCTATGAAAAAATCCCCATTTATACTTGATTTACCTACTAACAATGGTGTTCCATGGCAAACTGTTAGTTTACCACAGGGTAAAGCACAGCAGACAAGGCACTGTCCCAACGACCGTCGCCAGAACTGGCTCAAATGGAGGTTGATAGCTGGGAAAATGATCCAGTCGGCAACTTGCCATTGCCATGTTTAATGGTATATTGATGGTATAATATGCCATGTTTAATGGTATATATGGTATATACCATCAGCATACTGAGGCAATAGATTCATGTTTGATTACCTAAATTTAAATCGTCGGCAACGCTGGTGTCCAAGGCGGTCGGGACAATGGGTCTGTGGCGTGACGGGGTCGTGGACGAACCACCCCAAAATGGTGGGATTTCCTCAATCCGAATTTCAAGTGAAAGCTTGACCATCCAAAAAATGTTGTTGAACCAGTAATATTTGGTTATAGTTAAAATTTAGGTACAATGGAACAGAGAAGCAACAATGTGATGTTTGAATCTGTCAAGGGAACAGGGGAAATCATCCAATTTTCACGGTATAAGTGATGATAAACCACTGAAATTGGGGGGCCCCAGTTTTGCACAAACACATTAACCAGCAAGAAAACTGGGAGTATGATTCGGGGACAAGTCAACAACAAACATACACAAAAAAAAACAGTTTGTTCAATGATTCAATATTTGAGATGTGTTGAGTCAGTCTTCCACAAGCGTTTGGTGGGCTGGGGATCAAACTTGGTTTCGCTTGCCATCTTTGTATGACCTCAGGATGCCCCTGACATCAGCTCCTGAAACGTCTCAACTTCTGAAGCAATCATGCTGAATCCAAAAAAAGAGCATCTGACCTATGAGAAAAAGTGTTGTTTCTAGGGAGCCCACTAAAAATGTTCGGTACCTGACAGCAACGTCGACCACAAAGGATGATACCTCTGAGAGCAAATTGTACAGCGAGCGCACCGGACAATGCAAGCACCTCCAGGATGACCTGTCCAACAAATCTTCAATCGGTATGGATCAAGACCCTCCCTGCTATCCATCAACATCAAAGGAGCTGGTGCTCAGGAAAAATACAGTATTCATCCACAAATATCAATATAATATATATATATTGCATCGTCAAAGATTTTGACCGCCAACATCTTCGATGGTTTTTGAACCTGGCCTCAGGCTGTAGACTTCATCTCCAGCCGGGGACCCCACGGTTGCTTGTTGGCAAAACGCCAAGCGGAGCCAAGCGGAGCCATGTCAAATGGTGGTTTGGTCAGGTCAACTGTTGGAGAAATCACGAATTGGAAGGCCAGATCTACTGGGTCAAGTGCAGTAAACATATCGATGAAACATGAAACATCCTGACATCAGGACGTTGCAGTGTCTTTTCAGCCAGAAGCCTATCTGTGCACTGGTCTGGGTCCTAATTTACCATGGCTCTTTGGCCACAGGCAATCGTTTTCATCCTTTTCTGCTATGGTTTTGGTGCAGTCGGACACTGCGGAGCTTGACATCTGAAGTTCTCGATCGATTCACCTGACCTCAACGCCTCTTGAGTACCAGGCAATAATAATCGGCTTCATCTTCCAGAGATTCGAGTGCAAGCTCTGGGACCTCCATCGATATCGATCCACGGGAGGAAACAGAGAATCCCAAAACGGTGAAGTGTCCCGAAATTCGAAGTTCTAGCCCTAAATGAAGCTTCTAAGCTGCCGTGGAAAATGCATGTGTCATGAAAGAAACTGAGGGAGGAATCAAGGCATCTGTACCAGGGATTCGCACCTGTGCCAGCATCTGTTTCAGACCTTCACTTCCCGGAAGATCGTGCAGAACCTGCAGCCATTTTAAAAATCGCAAGTGGATTTTTTCAGGGTATGAAAAACGGTTATATAACCAACAGAATTATGGATACCATCCCTTACTCCATCCCATACTGTCCTGACAGATCTCACAGTGACTCACTCGGATGGGGACAGGGCCCAAAAATCTGTTGTCCTGAGGCGTCTGCCATCTGTGGATCTTTTTCCTGTAAAGTTCGCAGCCATGCTCGACCCAAAGGATGGCTGATGACCTGTGGTATCGGATACACAAAAAAAAATGAACCAGTTGAAAAGGAGCATCTCCAAGGGTTGCAGCAGGAAATGGCGCCACCAAGCTGAACTCAAAAGTCAAAAAAGTCTGAGAACCTGACTACAAGTCCCCCCTCGGACAAGAGTTCCCGCGCAACATGCTGCAGCACAGCCACGGGGTCGTAGAGATTTCCGAAACAAGCATTGAAGACCTTGATCCCCCGACCAAACAGATTGGCTGGTCTCATTTTTGTCATCGAGGTTCAGGACCATGCCATGTAGCCGTGACTTGGAAAATCATGCTGGAAATCGGACGATGCGCACCATGGCCACCATGGCTCATGCGCACATAGTTGAAGAAAAAAGACTGTCAAATTGCACATACTAGTAGTTCATCATTGTTGGATATACATTCGTAGGCAGTCTTGGATTCCCTGCTCAGAAATTAATTTGGCTGGTGATATAGTATACGTATACGTATACATAAACATACGTATACATATTCATATACACATACAAATACATATACATGATAACAATGATAACAATGATAACAATGGCAAGACTGATTAATCATCATCATCATCATCAGAATTACAATATTGTTTTGAATAATATTCATATTATAATGATAATATTAATAGCATTTGTTTGCATCCTGTAACTCCATGTATTTTCCAACCCCAGGCACCACCCGATCGTAGCGGCCACCCGTGAAGTTCAGCACATCGTCCTGAACGAACTTCACCTGGGGAAAGCCTGGGAGCTGGACATTTGGAAAATCCACTATCAAGGTAAGCCCACCAAAAATAATAGAAAGTAAAAGTGCAATAAAGTTTAACATTGTGATGAATTACGATTCTATCTATTCTTGGGGGTTTCCATGATGGAGTTTGATAGGAGTGTAATCAACGACATCAGCGGGATATCATTGGGATATGATGGGGTGACAATGCGTATACTACGGATACAACTTATAATGGGATTGAATTGAATCAACAAATATGGGCATATAACCAATAGTGACGAATACCATATCGCTAAACATGGGGATTGTCGACAAAGAAGGGGATGGAAATGATAGTATGCATTTCACCATCAAGCATGAGGATTCAACCAGACTTTGTGAATGAAAATGGAGATATATTGATTTAGCCAACAAACATGGGAAATATACAAAGAGACGTAGGTGTGTCATTGGAAAATAGTTGATTTCATTCAAGCCATTGGGCGCAGCACTGGTGCCACAAAAAGATTCTTGTTGGGATCTGAAACCCTCCATCACATGAACGAAACTGAGAATTGGAAAAAAAAACTCGGGGCTACAAGAAAAGCATCCATTCATTTCATCCAGTCTCCCCGAGTCTCCCAGTCTCCGCCAAAGGTCGCTGGCGCGCGAAGCTCAACATCCCAGCGGAGAGGTCAACCCATGTGACCTTCGACAGATCAGCTCCTGACTCCTGGAAGAACGGCAGCAGTGCACCTGGAGAAACGTGGCGCCCTTTGCGCCTGTTGGGAGCACCCTGAGTTGATGGGAGGGGCCAAAGTCCCACGGGCAAGACAACATCGATCATTAACGATGGAAATTCGCTGCGCGGAGATGCTACCAGGATGATTCTATCTGCAAAGAACATGCAACAATGTCAGGTGGTTTGGTCTTGAGAATTTTGGAGAGACGCAAACCACCCGCCCCAAGCCTGTGCCGGTACCAACATCCAGCAGAGTTGTCCTCGTTACAGGAGCAGTTCCGTCCCCTTAGAAGTCTGTTCTTGTCACTCATACAAAACATATTAAGCCATATCAAGCCCCACTTTGGAGCATAGATTTTTGATTGGATTTGAATGTAAAGTTATAGGTGGGTCAATCCCCCATATTCAGGTACTAAAGCCATACAGTAAAGTTGGTTTTATATATATATATCCGACTGTCAAGTCCCATTACATCCCCATGATAGTTGCTTACATCCTTACAAACCCATAGATTTCGATTGTTGGGTTGATTTTACCCTCTGGTAAACTAACATAACTATGGAAAATCACCATTTTCCCATAACTCACTATAAATGGCCATGTTCAATAGCTATGTAACAAATTACCAGAGGGTATCTCACTGCATCCAATGTGCTTTGGCGCTAGCCGGCAGCTCGCAGCAATGCGCTGCAAGCGCGGAACCACTTGTGGTGGTGTGGCCGTTGCAGAGGCAAAGAAGTCTGACTTCTCATCAAAGACCTGACTGGTGGGCCACTAAAATCACCATATAACCAACAGAAATGGGGATATTCTCTGGATGATTTGCCTTAGCTAAGTTGGTGCAAATAAGTCAAATGTTATTCGGGATATTCGGGTTTGTGGCAGACATATCTGTAGTTCATGGGGTGCATGGGTTTTTGAAGCAACGAACATTACAGATCTGAGCTGCCAGTATATCATTCACTGGCAATCTACTCGCATGTCCATTGGAAAACAATGGAAAATAAATCGAAAATATATATTGAAACCCTGCTTTCGTGGTGCATTGTGTTCTTTTCCATCCTTTGCAGGTCCATGTTTAATCATTTTTATGTATTTTTATGGGTTCAATATCCATCAACGGCCGCCTTCGCTTGATAGGCATTGTGAGCATTTTGCGGCGCAGATTCCATTCGCACGGCCCGAGCGGCGAAGCCCTGACGCCAGTGTGTTTGCCAATGGCTGGCAAATGGATCTTAGAATCTTCCAATCCAAAGGGACATCATGGGACATTCCCAAATCTCTAGGATCAAGGCCTTTGTCCTCCTTTCTGCTTGGCTTCTTCTTGCAAGAGTCATGCCACTCTGCGTAACTGTGGCCTTTGCGCAACAAATACGCAGGGTACTGATTGCTGTACTGTACACTGATCGCAGGTGCCTCAAGTTCTCTTAACTTATAACGAACCTGCACTTTAAAAGCAAAGCGCTGAGAGCTTCCTGATGCTCAATGCTCACCAGCGAGCTATACTATACAACTCACATGATCATGGCAAGATTTGCAAGATGAATTCAGGTTCAGGGAGACCTCATAATTCCTCAGCACGAGCCAGTTTCGAGGCAGACTGGATGAGACCCAAAAACTTCTGTCGTGCTGAGCTCCTGCTCGGTTTGCACTGAGAATACCAGTCGTTCTGGACTTTACAGACATAGCCTGCTTCGCAGCAGGTTGGACCATCATGATTTTTGCCACCGCATTGTTTGAAAGCACCCGCGCAGTCACCACCAGAGCTGGTGGTAGTGGATGTAGTAGATGTACTGGTGTCAGTTGAATCACCTCGTACACACTGCGAATACCACTCGTTCTGGTATTTGCAGACCCATCCAGCCTCACAACATGTTGGGCCATCATAATTCTTTCCACCACACTTCTTCCACTTGGCCGCGCATTCGCCACCTGAGGTGGTACTTGTAGCAGCTGTGGTACTCGGACTTGCCGTTGTCGTGGTGACCGTGGTGACTGTGGTGACTGTGGTGACCGTGGTGACTGTGGTGACCGTGGTGACGGTGGTGACTGTGGTGACTGTGGTGACCGTGGTCGTGGTAGTCGTCGTGGTCGTCGTTGTGGTAGTTCCCGAAGTGCCCAAAGATGTAGATCCAGAGCTTCCTGTTGTGCTGGGACGCGTGGGGTATACCGACTGGGTGCTGCCGATCTCACCAAAGGCCACGTTGGCAAAAGTCACGTAGGAGTTGGGGTGTTTGCTCCTGACATTTCGAGGTGCACTTTCTTCGCCCCCTGGGCACATGCCACGATGCACGCCCGGCTCACTGCAGGCCTTGTCAGTGGGATAGCACGAATCCAGCCACATCATGTGCACATCGATGTCATCCCAGAGCGAAAAGGCAGCAACATGGCCACGCTCTAAGGACTCTCCCATAGCTTTGTTTCCACCCTTGATCTTGAAGTCATTGGGATTTCCAAACAGGTCCTGAACTGTTGGGTGACATCCGAGGCCGCAAATGAATATTGCTTCATACTGATAGCCGATAGCGAATTACCCAGCACCCCCTGCGCGCATTACTAGTTTGATTCCTGTTTCTTAAAGCAGTTGAAAGTCAAAAGTCAGGCTGACAGATTCCTCACATTTCACATCCCAATTGCAGTCCTGAATGTCCTCACACATCTTGTCAGTAATGGAGTCCGGTTGGTCTTGCAGGATCATTATTGGTGGGCTTTCAATTGCCTTTCCATCCTGCACATAGAAGCGACGAATCTCCGACAAATCTCCATCATCTCGACCATTGCTGGTAAGGAACTGAGTCACCACAGTCATTGGCCTGGAGGAATCCACCGAAAATGTGGGCCCTTTGCCATAGAAGCTTTGGTTCCCATTTCTGAAAGCGTTGATATCACAGCCATCTTTGTCACAGAGGCCATCATAACGCTCATCCTTGTCGTTATCACCACATTCCGTGCCTTCACACATGTACTGCCCGGGGCTATCGATGTCACAAGGATGCGGGGTGTAGGCTGTGGCCATGTTGTTGGCCTCCCAAATATCCATCTCAGCACAGCAGGCACCGTAGTGACCCAAGCCCATGCTATTGCTGAAGTCTTTGGGATGCGGCTTCCAATCCTTGGTGTTCGCCTGGCCATTGATGAACTTGATGTCCTGGGCTGATCAAAAACTGTGGCGAGGAAGACGTAAATGGGACGTATACCGTATACCGTATACCTCCAAAACAATAAGCTTTTGGCCGCCCTTACCACCAAGCTTTACGTATGTCCCACATTTTCCAAGCTTCATGGGGGCATTGCGCATCACAGTAGCCTGTACCAAACTTGGCACCAGCCTTGTTTCCTGCCAGCCCTTTGCCTCCATTGGCTGCCATCTCTATGAAATACATGGCACCATTCATACCACATTCCACCGTGGAGGAGTCGACATCCAAAGCAAACTCACGGTTCTTCAGATTGAAGAGCTTGTAGTTGTCGTCATCCTCCAACAGGAAGAGACGTGATCCCACATTGGACCCAGTGACAAAGCTCAGCTTGACTCCACCTTGCAAATTCAGGCTGAACCTACTTGCTACTTGCTACACCATCGGATACTTAAGGGGAATTAAATTCTGCTCGTGAGCAGCAATTCCTCTGCACACCAGAGAATTCGTTCGGAAGAACCATTCCGGCATGGCAACGCTTCGAAAAACTGAAGAAACAGGTGTACTGAACATCTGGAATGATTGAAAAACACAGCGAAAGCGAAATGTTTAATTTCCAGGATCTCACACAGTGTGGGCAGGAGATTTGGCCCTGATTTAAACAGATCTAAATCTTATGTGCGCTAAGCCGCTAAGCCCTTCTAGTACAGGCCACTGAGATGTAAAGAATTGTGACTGCAAGCATGTTCACTGCAGACCATGAGTCTATTTTGTCAAGCTGTGAATCTGTCAAAATTTGCCATCCCCTCTGCCTGGAACTGCTGTCACGCCATAGGTGGTCTTGTACTGCCCAGCATCTACCCCTTCCACCATGCAGTTCTCTGCACAAGTGTCTGGATCCGGACAAATAGAAGTGTCCCATAGATTTCCAGTGTAGCAGTTCCTTGGATGTGTCGACTTGGGTACCAAAAAAAATGAAACGCATAATTCCAATAGATTCCCCAGTCGTGGTAGATTAACCAACGGCTTGCCATCCAAAATCATCGACGCAAATCCAGGGCTCTGAAACTCCTCATTGTGGATCCACCGCCAATTAGCATCCAGCACAAGCTTGTGATCCTTGAAACTGCACCCCCTACTGCTGCACTCCTTCACGGCAATTGTGGGATTCCCTTCCACCTTTGTCCCCGGCTGCTGTGCCCAGCACGGGCAAATGGAAGCAATGAAGATCAAGATCAGCATGGTCGGATCCTATGGCTATGAGAAACCAGGTGAGCACGTCTTTGAACCAGAACTGCAGAAGTCGACATGTCAAATCCAGTGCCCAGGTTCCCTCTGCCATCGCCCCATGACAACTTCATTGCCTGCGGAGGTGAGAACGCATGTTTGGCAGCGGTCAGAGCCTCATGGGCCAATGGGGCTGTACACAGCACGCAGCACGGTAACCAACAAGAAACATGGTAAACTGGTGATTCTTGGGTTTACCACATTGCCTCTATGTTTCGAGAGCTGGGACCTAAGATCCACCAGACTCTTTCGTTCAATCCGACATTCGCAGCATATGTTTCATAACACCAAAAAGAAGTTCGAAGAGTAAACTCATGTTTTTCATCAATCCTAAAAATGTGGCAAGTCTGCACTCATCCAGAATCTGTCTTTTTTCCTTGTTTCTGGAGGTTTCTAATGGTTTCTATATGGTTTCTATATACCCTCTGGTAAACATACAAAAAGCTATTGAAAATGGCCCAGTCGAAATAGTGGATTTACCCATTAATAGCATGGTGGATCTTTCCATAGCTATGTTAAATGGTTTCCATAGCTATTAAAATAGTGGATTTACCCATTAAATGGCCATTTTCCATAGCTAACTTCTTCGGATCCAGATGATCCAGGCCACAGCACAGGCCACCAACGCACGGCGCGCCGGAGCCATGGCAGGTCTCATGGCTTTCGGCTCCGATCCTTTTGGAGCGCGGTCAAGTGGGGCCCCCGGCGGTGAACATGAAAATGGCCGGTGAATGATTCATAATGATGGTACTGTATTATGATGGGTAAATGGATGGTATAATGATGGGTAAATGGATGGTAAATGGATCATCAACCCAACAATATGAAGGGTCGTAGGTTTTGCATGGTTTTGCTAAACGTAAACATCTGTTCATAATTGTTGCCTATGTGAATCAGCGCTTGATACTCAGACGTCCACGGAGATCGGAGGATCAGAGTGCATCAAAATCGTCGACCTCAAGGCCTCCAGCTGCAGACCAAAGCACGAAGCAATGAGCAACTTTTTCAGATGTGCGTCATGTGCGTTCACCGTTCCGTCTGCATTTGCAATGTGCAGGAAAGTTGAAAGCACAACATTTACGAGTAACCACAGTGCCTCCGTTCTGCGAGTTTACGAGAAGCCTGCATTCTTAGCGTTGCTGCTTTGCTTTTTTACCGAAGTCTTCATAACTCCAGGATCACAGCTCAGGGGGCTTACGGCTTACAGCATATATTGTCACAAAGTCATTGAATGTCCTCGGCCTGAGTCTAGGTGAAAGGTTGTCTCTTTCATCTGTGTTGCAACTTGGAACTTGTGACGAAAGTTCAGCGGCACTTTGTGGTTCTGTGAGGAGGGACAGCACACAGGGCACGGGGCCCAAAACCGCCCAAATCAATCAGAGATGAAACACGTCACTTGGCCATGTTTCAAAGCTCTGCTTCGCACTCAGTCATCATCAGCAGCTGCGGTCACATCCGCAGTCAAGGTATTCATGGCATCATCAGCCTGTCTTCAACCGGTCATGGGTCATGCCAGTGGGTACAGCTAATGATTGAATTGGGGGACCAAAAGAGAACAAAAGAAGATTCCGAAACATACACAAATGCTATCAAATGCTGCTAGAGTTTGAGCACAAACGCAAACCCTTGCAACTCAGCAAGTAGAAAGCCGCCGAAACATCCACAAAACACATTCCATCCACTGAATCCTTCCATGACGTGCAACAACAAATGGTATGGTTCAACATTCTCAAATTCGGATAAATGGATAATTTAGTGGACTTTACACAGAATTATGGGTAAACATGTTATCCATAAATGGAGCAATGTTAACCATTAATGGATAAACATAACACAGAACTTATGGCTCCATTGCTATCCCACTTGACCGGCGTTAAGCTCAGCTCGGGCCTCGGGGCGCATCATCTCAACACCGACATCATCTCCTCCATCGCCATGCAACTCCATGAGCCTTGGCACGTCGGCCCGCCAAGGCAAAGGATGTGTCTCACTCGTTACTCGGCTTGGTGAATGGTATGTGTCAGTATTGCTTGATTTATGTTGTGTTGATGTTGATGTTGAGATACACCTATAAATATAGGTATGTACATTTAGGTATGTATCATTTATGTACTTCTGTCTGTTGATGTTGATGTGTTGTTGATACACCTATAGCTATAGCCGAAAAACATCTTATAGTGATTGACATTCCCTGGAGTACCTATTAAAAACCAACAGGGAGATCACTCAAAAAGGTGGTAGATGGTCGTATCATCAGTTTCCCCCTCGCCATTTGGTGATGTACCCTCTGGTTATGTCAAAATAGCTATTGAAAATGGCCATAGAAATAGTGGATTTACCCATTGAAAATGGTGGATCTTTCCATATAGTTATGTAACAGTTTACCAGAAATTACCCCATTTTAAGCCCAGCGGCTTGGTGATGTCAAATTTGGGTTTTTTCATGATCTTCACCTTGCGAATCATGCAGTCCTTCAGTGGGAAGATCCCCTTGCACTGCTTCTCAATCTCCTTGCCGATCACTTCAGGGATCAGCTTCTTCACCTGTTTTGCCCATCCCTTGCCCATCCCGGCCTTTTTTTTTGGCTGGTGAAAGATGGAATCATGATTATCATACATTATCATGGTGTCCCTACGAAATTAGGGAACATAGACGCTTCATAATGCTTATAGTTCATAAACCCATAAAATACTCCTTACAACAGCCAATCAACAGTGTAAATTTCTTCATTTCTCACCTGCCACGGAGCAACAACAAAAAACCAGAAAATCAGCGCCAAGCCACAAGCTCGCGGAGCTGGCACTTGCTCGCCTCCTGGTGACTTCATAGAGGCAAGATGGGCCATGGCCAAAGCTTTGAGTACTTCGCAGTTCTCTCACTTGGCTAATAGATGGTTTATCCCATTATTTATCCCTATATTATCCATATTATGGAACTAATATGGATGATAGTACCTTCTATTTATGTTACTTTCATTTGACACAAATGACTCAAATGACTTGAACGTGTGGGTCTCACTTCTCATCTTGCCAGGAAATCACCATAGCCTGTAGCATCCTGTAGCTATATCCATTCATCATCACTAAAACACCCCCAAATTATCCAACAGCCACGTCCTGCGTCATGATCTCCGTCATCTTCCGCCGGATCTTTCGGATCTGCGCAGTCTGCGCGTAGCAGTTGGCCTTCACCTGCTCGCGCTGCCGGGCCGTGAAGGCCATGCAAAACCTCGGAATTGAAACGGTGGAAATTTGGATGGTAAATCCAGGGAGAAACCACAAGTGGCAAGTTTTACCCAAGAATTTGATGCATTTGGAAAGCTCCACAAAGCGGAGCTAAATTGGAGTGGGATGAGTGGAAAATGGTGGGATTTGCCACATTGGAGGTCGCCAACAAAAAGACATCACGGATGCTCTGCAGTGCTGGCGGGCTGCACTTTCGGTCGATTGTTGAGTGTCCAATCCCGTATCAAAGGCCCCGCAATTTATGGTTAAATCATGTTAAATGCCAGTGATTACTTAAAAGTTCACCCCATAGAACCACATAAAACCCCTATGATTCCAGTGGGTGTCTTGGCATAGTGACATCCGGACCACATAGCCATCGGTCGTCTTGACATCCACTTGCGCTTCGATCAATGTCTGCCACTTCCTCAGAGGTGCTGACTGGGCAATCCCTTGGAGGTCACCCTACTATGGAAAAAAATGTGGAAAAAAATATGGAAAATTTGGGTACCCCTAAACCCAATGGTTAATGATCATTATCCCTATTAAATGGCTATAATTGGGAATATACCCTATTTAATTATAGCCATTTAAAAACGGGATAGTGATCAGCAAAACCACAAAGGTACACTATTTGGTACACGTTTTTCAGACACACCCATTTGTTGAAATTCATGGCACAAAGGGTTCACACTATCGACGCTGCCCAAAATGCAGCGGCAGCCGAGCGTCTTGATGAGTGAGCAGATCTTATCCCTTGTCAGCTGCATGCCATGAAAGTCCGTCAAGCAACTTCTGCCTTGCACCTCCTGCAGTGACTGGAAAACCTCTCTGGAAGCTCAACACAATTAATTGGCCAAACATACAGATAGATGGATAGAAAATGATAGAAAGATAGTTGGAAAACACAACATACACATCATCTCTAGCTATGATCCCAAACACTGCGAGCGTCGATGATTCTTGATGCCTTAGATGCCTTAGATCTCGCCTCGATGCACAGCCGGATCTTCTTGGAGGCCTGATCTTCATCGCTGTTCAGATCGGCCAAGTTCACCTGGCCAGAGTCAGAGCCAGCGGTCAGCAGGATTTTGGACCGGACAATGGGAGAATTCAAAACACCCAAAGTATAGCAAATTATCATGTGGAGAAGTGGGAAAATGATGATCAATGATGATCACCTATGAAAATTTTGGGGCAGATCCAAACAGCTGAATTCCGTGAGCTCTTTCCATCTCTCCTCCAACACTCGGCCCTTCAGCTCTTCGGTGGCAATCTTCGCACCCTGGGTCCTTGAAACCAGGGTTTTACCTCGGCGCTCAGAGCCCCCGAGCTTCGGCTTCCGTGGCCGCGCTGTTCTGACTGTCCGGTCTGGGGATGTCTGGGGCCCTGGCCGCAGTTGCGCACCGTGAACCTTGAGCCCGCTTTTTAGCGGTGTCAAACATGGCTGGGAAGTGCCAAGTCCCGGAGAAATTGCCATTTTTACTTGTAAAATCCTGGGAAAATATGGTGAAAAACCGCTAGAAATGAAGGTTTATAGCCGGAACATCATCTTTGGCGATTTTCCAGCAAGCCATGTTTCATTACCAGAGGGTAGTCACCAACAGCTGAGCAGGCAAGCAACATACTTGGAGCTTTGATGTCATACCACTCCTTCCGCAGGAATGGATCACCCGCCTTCTTCTTTCCACCTTTCTTCCCACCCTTGGTGAGGCGTTTGTTCTTTCCAACAGCCATGACAGCCCAGGAAAAGGAGACAGGAACTGAACAGGCTTGAGCCAAGGTCACAAGAAGCCGGGCGATACAATTCAGACGCATGCCAGAGTTCAATTCTGAATTCAGAAATTCCCATTCTCAAATGACAATCTCGTCTCCTCCAAGTTTTGTCCTTCAGTTTGCGCAACAGTTTGGGAACTCCATGTTTTCCATGTCGCCTTTGACGAACTCTTCGGTTCCGGGTCTGTATTGACAACTAGATAGCCAGCTATGCACAGCTCATTGTAAAGCCTCAGTATCAAAGTCTGGAACCAAAGTCTCCAGCGGTCCCCAACAGAAATGCTTCTGCCTCTTGCGATGTTTCCCTGGTCTATCTTTTGGGCTTCGGAAATGCTATGAGATGAAAAAAATACAAAATATGTGCATGGACAGATTTGCCGACAACCTCAGCACCCAAAAGGCCTCCTTTGGAGCTGTTACTCTTATGATTTGCTGAAACTTGCATCCTGAGCTCATGACTCTCCATTCCACCGCACCACATCGGGGACCTTAGGACAGCAATTCATGGAGCTCTTGAGTGCAGCGTTCCCTTTGCCAGGTCTAGGGAACGTGCAGCCAATTTTGCCACCGACCAAGACTTCTCGCACCTTCGAATCTTCGAAGTTTCCAAGTGCCAAATTCAACAGCAACAGTCGCCTGTCGCGATGGAGGCGCAAATCGACCTGGTCGTGGCACTTGGCAAACAGCAAGGAAAAGCTTGTGATGGAAAACGGCTGAGCACGCGGCCAGGATCGTAGATTCCAACTTGTTTTCTGTTGCCCCATGGAACGCTGTTCAAACCTGTCCTGGCGTACAGCAATCCACCTGAAAAACCACCATGTCAGGTTAACGAAGTTGCACATCCCCTATTTTAGTAATGGTTACTTGGTTGATGATGATTACTCATACTCATTAATACAACACATGCTAATCTCGGACTCCCTGCTTTCAATTTCGATGTTTGAACCATCCTGTCCTGGCAAATTCACCGGCGTCAGGCATGTGCCGCCTGAACACGATGACACAGGGCTGGGAATGCAAATGATGAATCAAAATTGGTGGTACTTTTTGACATTGGTGGTAATTTTTGAAACTAAAATTTGGGATATTTGCTTGCAGCCCGCTATATAGATATTCATACATATTATGTATATATATGTCTTTAATGGGATATGTAGATGCATATACATACGGTGGAATTTTGGAATATGACATTTGCAAAGAACGAAACAATGAACAATTTGTTTCTTGGTCAATGGCTGAAGAGATCTGTCCTAAAGGATGCAAGGTCCAGGCCATCTGCTTGGCATTTGAAATCTCTGTCAATCCCTGATGCAAACCCTTGCAGGACGGATAAAACAAAAACAACGGCAACGGAAAGAAATAATTCAGGAAACAGTCATTTGAAAGGTAATTTTTTGTGTGTTGTTTGTGGTTGTACCCTCAGCTACGACATCGCAAAAGGAGACAACTGTCATTTTTTTCACTGTCGGAGTCAACATGTTCATTTTGAATGGAACACTTCTGTCCCCCCGCAGGCAAACCAGGAAATGTCCTCTCGGTGCCTGAGAAATAGTTGCATGCCCTCTTTGGCATCTATTTTGAAGTGGCAACGACCACCTCGGAATGCATGACAAGAACGCAACCTTTTCTGTGAACAGTTACATATGTTCAACGTGTGCAAACTTCATTCATGGATTTTTGCCACAAACAAAAAAAAAACAGAAAGCAGCATATGCAAAAACAAAATATTCAAACAAATCCATCAAATGTTGACCCGATTCCATGTTCCATATCTTTGCGACCTGAACTGAGTCTCCAGCAAGTGAGATCCTGGGAAGATTAACTTTCCAGTTTTCAATTTCATCATCACGAAACCACATCCAGAAGTACTGAACTTAGTTCCTCACCATGATGGATGGTTTTCCGCGTCTCGGCCTCGGTGATTGCGACAGCTGCCACCGTTTTTCAATCGGACGAAATACGATATATTTTTGTCTGCGCTGAGGCGCGATCAAATTCCTCAAAAATGCCATTGCATCGAAGAAATACACTTCAAAAAACAACGTTTCCTTAAAATGGTGTTGTCCCGAAATGGTTTCGGTATGTTTTGGTCAAATTGCATGTTGTTTCCCAATGTTGTTTCCATGTCAAAATGCGACCAAACAAAATACTGGTGGGTTTCGTTTGTAACCACATGTGCATATCGCATGTTTTCATGTTCTTGTGTTCTCTGTCTGCAATGCACGGTTGGTTTCAAGTTTGATTCCAAATGGGTTGCAAATATAAATAGAGGTCGAACATTCGTTCATTTGGTGATTTGTTTTCTGCAGTGTTTTCCCACCCACCCTTTTCACCCAAATCACATGGGAACTAAACAAACAAAAACCAATTCAAAAATTCGCAACGTATTCAGTTCCAGCTTTTGGGGTTTCACATCGCTGCCACAAAGCACTGTGCATTGCGTTGATATTGATGTGAGATGCCCAACGAGGTCAATGTAAGCACTTCGGAGCCTGGTGGTCTTTGACGTTTGTTTCACCCATCCTGTCCGATGAAAAAATATCCTAGACAACTAAAGGAGAGGCAAGCTGGGGATTCCACTGACGCTATTTTAGTGTCACTGCCTTGAAACTTAAAAAGTCCACGAAACTTATGTCCGTGAATTCAAAGGGCCTAAGGCATCTGCGACCCTGGTTGGCTCTATGCCCTATGCATGGCATGGACATTGTCAAATCCCGCACTGGTGGCGATCAGGTTGACAAAGTCCTGTGGCAATTTCTAGCAGCCAGGACAAGAGAAAAGACAGAGACTTCAGTTAGTGACTTATGCAGTAGTTTTCATGTTTATAGATCTGTTTTGTTTTAACAATTCCTCTGGATCTAGCTGGCTGCTCTACCCTGCAACATAAAATTTCAAGGAAAGAATCTCCCACCCACCCTGGCGCTCCGTTGTCCACCACGTTGATCTCGCATAATTTGGTCAAATTGTTGAAGGGCCACCATCGGGTGAAGTTGCCTTCTTGGATTCCCGAACAATAATTGCCAATGCGATCCCTCCAAGTAAGAGGGCTGCTACCACTAGCGCTGCAATTGTAGTCCCTTCTAAATGAAATGCCTCAGCCTCGGGCTCTCTTGCAACAACAACAACTGCGCTTGTGCGGGTATAGGTTGTGCTTGTGCGAGTTGTCCCAGTTTCTTTTTGATAGACGCTGAATCGGGTTCCATACCAGCCTTGACAATTCTCCAAATTTTTTGGTACAGAACACTCGCCCTTATTGGCTATGCACAATTCTCCTGCTCCAGAGCCTTGACACCTTGGGAGTGCAGCCAGCTCTTGCGGAAATGGACATGTAATTGAAGGTGTTAGTCGCAAACCATCCGCACAACCGATGTCAACGAGACACACCATCCACCTTTGCTTCTGACCCTGAGATCTACGTCTTCGGTGATACTCCCGCCTTCGGTGATACGAGTTCGAGTAGGAACGTCGTCTTCCGTTCTCCTTGTACACAATATCTCGATGGACAAGAATAGTCTCGGCGTCCATGTCCTCACTTCCTGACTTGCCAATGCTCAAAGCAGGTCTGCAGAGGTTTGTATTGAATTTCAAGCCTCTGAATTGAATCACAATTATTGAACACCAGTATTCAATATGATTGATTCCCCAAACAATGTGTCCAGACTGAGGGGTTCTCATGGTAAATGTAAAGGCACAGGCTTGATCAGGCGTAAAATGACTCGTCACATGTCCATGCGTTTCGACTGCGCAAGCTCGCACAAAACGTGCGCCTAACTTCTGGGGCGCGGCATTTTTCCTGTAAGTTCTCGCACGAAACGGCTCTTGCGACATGTCCATGTGCATTTCGATTGCGCAGGCTCGCACACACCGTGCGCCGGGATCTTTGGGCGCGGGATTTTTCTTGTAAATTCTCGCATAAAATGGCTCTTGTGACATGTCCATGTGCATTTCGACTACGCTAGCTCGCACAAACTATAAGTTCCCGCATAAAATGGCTCTTGTGACAAGTCCATTCCATGTGCATGTCGACGGCGCAGGCTCGCACAAAGTCTGCGCCGTGGGGTTCTCGAGCTTTGCGAGTGCGGCATTTTCATGCATTTTCATTGTAAGTTCTCGTGTAAACGGGCTCGCTCTCCTGTGGAGATTCTGCTAAATATGCTGAATTCCTCTCAAGAGTGATCCTGGTGATCCTCTCTAGGAGGTCCTTGCATGAGGAGCGTGCACGCGCCATGTTTTGGAGGTGCTTGCATGAAAGCTCTTCTGGGAGGTTCTTGGGAGGTTCTTGTATCAAGATCTTGAAGGATCCGCTCCAGCAGCAGCAGGTCCTTTTGACAATCTTGTGAGATTCTGTTGGGGGTGCTGGCCCAGCATCAAGATCTTGCTCAAGTTATATATAAGGTCCTGCTGCTCCAGTTGCAATCCCGCCTACAACCTCATCTGTTACTGTTCCATAGCTACTGTTGCTTGTATCTGGTACATTGACTTCCTACCAGCCACACTGTTTGGGGCCTCTTGCCGGTGTAATTCCCGAGAGCGCCTGAGCAGGAATAAGGTTTTGACCTTATTCTCGCCTTATTCCATGATTATTTTGGTGGATCCTTAATAAGGCCTTAATAAGGCCTTAATAATGTATTATTTTTAATTTGGTAGGGGGGGTACTTAGGGGGGGGCCTGTTTCGGCTCCCATGAGAGCAATTACGCCGGGATAGACCCCAGACACCAAAAGATTTTTTTGGTAATCGCAATCTCCATCAGGGCCCAACGCCCACATTGCCATAGACCCTAGACATCTCGCAGCCACCCCGTGCAGCGACACCATGCCAGCTCCAAACGCACACGCCACTCTAACAGCACCTTCAAGCATCACCCTCAAGCAGCACCCTGCAGCGGCCCTCCAGGATGCCCGCTCCCAAGCGCACTAGTATATATTTTTTTTGTCGCTGCCGGTGGCTGTTGCCGGATGACGGTGCCGGATGCCGGTGCCGGATGATGCCGGTGGCCGCCGGTGCCGGATGCCGGGTGCCGGTGGCCGGTGCCGGATGATGCCGGATGATGCCGGATGATGCCGGATGATGCCGGATGATGCCGGATGATGCCGGATGATGCCGGTGCCAGATGCCGGATGCCGGTGCCAGATGCCGGATGCCGGTGGCCGCCGGTGCCGGATGCCGGGTGCCGGGTGCCGATGCCGGCGGTTGCCGGTTGCCGGTTGCCGGTTGCGGTTGCCGGTTTCCGGTGGCCGGTGGCCGGTGGCAAGTGCGGTTGCCGGTTGCTGGTTGCTGGAAGACAAAAAATGTATATTATGAAGCGCACAGGACACCACACCCTTCACGGAAGACTTCCTTTCTATAATAAATAGAAAAATCAATGGGTGAGTGTGCGATGTGTGTATATATATATATACTGTGTATATATATATATACATATATATATACATATATATATATATACATATATATATATAGAGAGAGAGAGGGAGAGAGATCGGTTGACATGAAAGCGTACCAAAAAACATGTGACCCTTCCCAATCACTGTCAAAGTTTGCGTACCACTTTGGCCAAGCTTCTCACCGTGCCATCAATCAGCAAGCTTTCTGTATAATAATTGTCTCCTTCTTTGGTTACCTGAGGAGCCAACTGTCAGTGGAGGCGGGCCAACGCCTGGTATTTGCTGTAGAGTCTCGAAATTTCCCCAACTTAGAGAAGTAGGGGGAATTCTACGAAAGCTAGCGGCAGCTAGCGCTAGCTTGACTGAGACACATGAAGAAGAGCGCATGCTGAGGAAATTGCAGTTTGACAATGTATCGAGGTGGTCACAATATCAGTTTTTACATTTGCAAGCCTCTTGAGAAAGCGCAGAGGAATAAACGAACCCACAACCATCAGGTTCCAAGACATGCCCGGGTCGCTAGCTGGGGGTGAGGGATGCAGTTAAGCCATGTTAAGCCTGATACTATCGAAGATCTGAGATGAGTCTGCTCAGCCACGGCCAAGAACATGCTAGAGCAAGAGGGACTCCAGCTAGCTGAAGCTAGTTTTCGCGAAAGTCATGCGAGTCTTGAAATTTCCCTAACTTAGAGAAATATAGTTTCATACCCAGACCTGCAGACAAGTTGCTGTCACAAAAGAGGCGTTTGGAAAAGATATTGCGCAGTGTTGGTTGACAGTAGGGTTGCTCTCATCCTGCTGAACGCAGTTGTCCTTCACAGTACATAGCCCAGTGTAACTCACCAGCCCGCTGGTCTTCCAAGGCATTGTTGATGTCGACGTTGTTGAAGTTGTTGCCGAAGTAGTACTGATTGTTTTTGTAGCTGTTGTTGACGACGTACTTGTCAATGTCCAAGTCGTTGATGAAGTCGATGTCCTGGTTGTACCGTTACTCTTACGGTAGACATCTCGTGTGGGTGGGTAGGTGTGAAATGGGTCGTAGCAATTGTTGATATCTTCTCTTGTGCCACATGTCCCATCACCTTCACATAGTTGGCCGGGTTCTGCCGTGCGGCAATCTGGCAAGGGGTCTGCAGCTGAAGGGCAATCAGGAATGCTCACAGGAATCAAGTCAAGACCATCAGTACAAGCAACTGGTTGTTCTACACAAATACGCCAACGTAGCTGACCATGCGTCTGGTTTCCGGCGTTCCACCCATCGGAGCTCCAAGAGATATTCGACCACAACGCAGTTGAAGTGCCCTTCAAAATCTTCGAACCAAATCCACTGTACCTGTAGCCGTTGATGCTCAAATAGTCAAAATATTTCTCAGTGTGAAAATCATCGATCGTGATCACTGAAAATGCAGGCAGGGAAGCGGCACAAGATTCATTTGATCCATAGGAGCTTGGATAGTTTGGACTCTCCAAACAGCCACCCTTGACTTGACAAGGCCCTGCCAGTGTCCATTTCCTGCCACCGCCACTGGTTGTTCTGAAAACAAGCGGTGTGGTTGTGGAGGTGGTAGTTGTTTTAGTCAGCGTTAAAGTAGTCAATGTGGACAGTGTTGTTGTCGTCCTTGTGCTGCGAGTCACCGTTGTAGTTGTTCCGCTTCTCTTTCGGTAGACATCTCGTGTGGGTTGGTAGGTGTGAAATGGGTGGTAGCAATTGTTGATATCTTCTCTTGTGCCACATGTCCCATCACCTTCACATAGTTGGCCGGGTTCTGCCGTGCGGCAATCTGGCAAAGGGTCTGCAGCGGAAGGGCAATCGGGAATGCTCACAGGAACGAAGTCAAGGCCATCAGTACAAGCAACTGGTTTTTCCACACAAATACGCCACCCAGTTTTCTGTTCAGAAAAATCTGACTGCCAGGAGATATTGGACCGCAAAACCAGTGAGGTGCCTGTCAAGCCCAATCCCGAGCCGCTATAATCGAAGCCGTTGATGGTCAAACGGTCATACCGCCGCTCGGTGGAAAAGTTTGTAACTCTGATCACAGAAAAGTGCGGTAGAGACACATCGCATCTCTCCGATGTGTTGTAATTGTGTGGAAAATTTGGGCTCGAAAGACAAGGGCCCTCAACCTGACACTGTCCCAAACCTTCAACGCTCCATAGTGGTTCATCGCTGTGCCAAAATGGATCCTGAGCCTCTTGCTCCTCTTGCCCAGGCTGTCCTCCATCACTGGCACTGCCGCCGTTGCCGCTGTGGCCACCTTGCCCACTGTGACCGCCGTGGCCGCCGTGACCGCCATGGCCGCCGTGGCCGCCGTGGCCAGGAGATGGGCCAGGCATGGGGCTTGGCTTAACTCCGACCTGGCGCAAAGGACCCCGACATGTTCTAACGTCCTCCAACTTCTGTTCAAAAAATTCTCATCTGCAAAACAAATCACGCCACAGTTCAATGCTCAAGTTTACAACAGCACAGCAAACAAGGTGTCATAGGGGGAACTTTGCAAGCCCAGGCCGGCCTGGTCATGTGTGTCAGTTTGGGTGCTGGGACTCAAGTCGGTTTGCTCTCCCAGCACCGGCACCAAGGGCGTGAACTGCGTCGTTCTCAGTGGCGCTGGAGTTGTCAAAGGTACTGCCAGAAAACCTGATCCTGAGATGTAAAAGATGGAACTCCCAAGAATCAAAGCTTGCGAATCACTGCCTGTTCCAGTCCCAACAAAATCTACAATACAAAATAGTTGGGACCAACATTTGGTTTCACAGCGGCTTGATAAGGTTCGATGATGTCTTAGTGGCATTGACACACAGGATGGCATGACCGCAAAGCAATCCTGAGACTGTGCTAACAGCGTTTCAATACTGCCACCAGCCCGGTCCTTCCAGCATAATGACCAGCGGGCTGTCTGAAGTTGAAGACCCTTCAAAGTCGGAAGCGACTTCATCCCTCGTAGGCATAGGTCCAAAGAAGGGGTCAACCAAAGGTTTGAGATCTCTCGCGTCCAGTTTCAAAAACCCTCCTGCGGCCGCCAGATGGGATCATCCAACTCGTTTTCGTGACAACAGAATCTCAAGCTTGGAATCCGGTGCTTTTGTTGAAATAGACTGGGCGGGAAATACCCCCCTCCTTTTTATTCTATCTAAAGCGGTGAGAGGTTCGGTTGAGGGGTTTGCAAACTTCCAAACAATAGATCATCACCGAATCATCACCCCTTCAGGCCCGGCAGGCCTGTTGATGATGTTGGCCAAGTGGTCAGGATGAAAAAATATCCCGGCAAGCAACCCCAAACAGTGGTTACTGTTAACTAAGGTAAAGTGCCCGACGACCAGCTGCACTTTCTAATTAAAGTGGCCGTGACTGCAGGATCACCACCCTGACAACAAGTCAGGCAGACATTTAACATCTGACCCTCTACATGGCAGTCTACCTAGCATGTATGTTGAAATTCTTCATGGCAGTCTGTCTGACATATATTCTGACATTCTATCTGGCATTATCCTGACATTCTTTCTGACGTTCTATCTTGCATATATATATTTTGACATTTTGTCTGACATTCTGTCTGGCATCAAGTTTGACATTCTTGGCATGCCATTTGGCAAACATTTTGACACTCGCTCCAGCATTCTATCTGGCATGGGTTCTCGCATGAACTCTGACATCCTGTCTGGCATTCTAACAAATATATTCTGACATTCTCTCTGGCATTCTATCTGGCATAGATTTTGGCACCTCTTTGGCACTACATCTGGCATCAGTTCCAACATTCTACGTGGCGTAAGTCCACCGCGCATTATTGCCGGGCGAAGTCTGGGGGAAGTCCAGCGTGCACCACAGGGGAAGTCCAGCACGCACCATTGCCGGGCGAAGTCTTGAGGATGGAGCGGGAGGGAGAAGGCCGAGACATTCTGCGCAAAATCTAGAGAATCACCCAGCAAGTGGGCCACTGGATTAGACATTCTGCAACGTCTGAAACTGGAACTCCTTGAACAGGCACTGCAACGACCCTGGGTGGCACTGTGGTTGGCTGTGTTGACGGTCGTAAAGTGGGGTAACTCGCCAAATCTTCCTTCGGCACAACAAAAGCACCTGCCGGACGCTCATTGTCAAAAAAATTGAAAGCAACATGCCTGTAAATAATGTATTTGCGAAGGGAAATAGCCAACCTCTGGAGGACATAAAAAAATTAGTTCGTAAAAAATCCGTAACAAGAATGGTGGCCGGAACTGTACCTGGAAAAAATGAAACAAGATGTAACCCACGAACCCGAATGCAGTCACGTAAAACACTCTTGTAAAACAAGTTATTTGAACACTCTTGTACATTTTCCCCTGTTACCGTACCACTGCACTGCACACACTGTGGAATGTGGAAGAGGGTAGAGTGCAAAGTGTGTAGTGCGAAGAAAGAGGAGTGTTGAGTGGGGAATGTAGTGTGTAGAGTGCGAAGTGGGGATTGTGGAGTGTGGAAAGTGTAAAGTGCGGGGTGGAAAGTGTGAATTGTAGAGTGTGGAGTGCAAAGTCTAAAGTGGAAAGTGTAAAGTGCAGAGTGTGGAGTATAAAGTGTGGAGTGTAGAGTCTTAGAGTGGCGAGTGTAGCGTGTAGAGTGGTAAAGTCTAAAGTATAAAGTGTAGAGTGTAAAGTGTGGAGTGTAAAGTGTGGAGTGTAAAGTGTAAAGTGAAAAGTGTGGAGTGGAAAGTGTAGAGTGTGGAGTGTAAAGTGTAAAGTGCGGAGTGTAAAGTGTAAAGCGTAGAGTGTGGAGTGTAAAGTCTGGAGTGTAAAGTGCGGAGTGTAAAGCGTAAAGTGTGGATTGTAGAGTGGAGAGTGCAGAGGGTAGTCTAAAGTGTAGAGTGTACAGTGTAGAACGTGGAGTGTAGAGTGTAGGGTGCAGAGTGTGGAGGGTGCAGAGTGTGGACTGCAAAGTGAAAGTTCTGGAGTGTGGAGTGTGAAGTGTAAAGTGTGGAGTGCGGAGTGTAAAGCGTATATAAAGTGTAATGTGTGGAGTGTAAAGTGTGGAGTGTAAAGTGTAGAATGTAGAATGTAAAGTGTAGAGGAAATATTGCTCCTGCCAGGCAAAAGGACATTGAAAAATGCGTATATAACCTTTCAAGGAAAGATGCCAATAATAGTAAAACAAGTTTACCTTTTCGAGGGAAAAAAACATGTTTGTTGACTATCATCTACATGTTTCCTTTGAAAGGGTGCACTTTTTACTATTTTGAATCCCACAAAGGCTTCAAAATAGTTTAAAAGTGTACCTTCGAGCTAAAGAGCATTTTTGGTGACTATCATCTACATCTTTCCTTGAAAGGGGACACTTTTATTATTTGGGTTCGCCCTGCAAACAAGTTACTATGTGTTTACTCGAGGCCGGGGGTGGATGACGAAAGCTAGCGGGGTAGGAGAAAGAAGGAAGGGAAGAGGTGAGTTGCGGAGGGACTGTCATCATCGTGTCGCGGCATTGTTCGTCCCAACGAGGATGCAACAATGATGATATATGATATATGATATATAACAATGATATATATGGGGGAGGGGGCAGGGGGGGGCCCTTTCGCGGGAAAAATCACGTGATGTCCTTGGGGAGCCCCGGAATACGTGCTAAAGCAAGAAGACTCTAGCGAGCTGACGCTAGCTTTCGTGATAATGACAATGATTGCCAATAATGATAAAATGTAATTGAATAACGATGATGATGATGATGATGATGATGAATGATGAATGATGAATGATGAATGATGAATGATGAATGATGAAGGATGAATGATGAATGATGAATGATGAATGATGGATGATGATGATGATGACGATGACGAGGACGATGGCAATGATGATGATGATGATGATGATGATGATGATGATGACGATGATGACGATGATGACGATGAGGATGACGATGATGATGATGATGATGATGGTGATGGTGGTGGTGGTGGTGGGGGGGGAGGGGGGGGTTGAAGAGGGGCCCTAGCGTCTACTTCAAGATCAGCTAAGGCGTCTTCCCCAATGACAGCACTTGTTTTACTCAGCCTGTTGCCGGTCCGTGCTTGTCTACAGGGTTACTCTATATACCTCTTGAGCCTTGAGGGGCGCATATAAATGTGCTCAATACTCATGCATGTACCTATGTAGGTATTAGGTCGAAACAAAAACACAGGCACAAATTCAAAAGCAATGAGTAGAGCACTACGCCTTGCCGTACCCAATTGGTATTAAGAGTATCTTCCTGACTTCTCTACACAATGGCAAATAGCAAAAGAAACCGGAGTTACGCAGTGGCTTCGAATTGAAAAACACGTGAAAGCAGCGAATGTCCTAAGGACATGTCGAAAAAGAACAGCGGATTCGCTAATTTTTCCAGTAGTGACCAATGGTGCTTCGCGCACGGTCTCTCCATAGGCAAAATGCCTCGCTCTACCGGTGAAGGTTCGAATTGAAAAGTTCGGGTTTGCAAGATTCAGAAATTCAGGTCATACGAAAAACAATTGACCAAATCACGAAATAAACGGAAATAGCGGATCTCCAAAGTTGCTCATTCAAGCAAACAATGGACTGAAATCGAAGTTGGTAATTTTTGGAGTTCGCTCCATTCGGAAGGGTCTGCTCGCAGGATGGTCCATGGAGATAAATGTGTATAGTATCTCTATTTACAAGAGCATCTATTTTACATTAAATTGAAGTTCAGACACTTGTGGCATTATCTCTATTTAAAAGAGTATATGCCATCTGTGTGAAATAAGTTGATGCACAGAAAAACTGTACACGGCCTCTCATGCTGTGTTATCTTCATTTAAAGAAGTCTACACTCACTCATAGCCAAAAGCTTGTTCTCCATGGTCTGGACGAAGAAGATGAGGATCCACCCCAACTAACGTTGCCCTGATACGTTGATGCTTGATCTTCATATGCCTTTCTCTTTTTCTCCTTCTGTCTTTCCTTCCTTGTATCTGAATACTGCTTCTTCTTGAAAGAATGTTTGTAATGATGTCGTTCATTCCACGACATATCAGAAGGATCAAGATGGATAAGAATTGGATTATGGGCATCACGATCATTTGGGGCAACCATGAAGATGTTGTGATCACCATGCAAGCAAGTTTCATTTACCTTGAAGTAAAATTCACCCACATAGTTCATGTGATCTTCGTCTTCGTAGTCTTCAAGGTGTTCCTGACACATCAAACGTGAATGACCCCACTCAACAACTGTTAACATACAACAATCACCTTTCCCATTTGTCTTGTTCATGAGCTCGTCGGTGTATGTTGCTGTTGTAATGCCATCCAAGTGTGTTGCAAGAAAATCCAAGTCACGATAACTGCAAGAAATGAAATGCTTGACCCTGATTGGAGGGCAAGATGAATCAAAATACTTGCGCATGGCTTGTGTTGCAACACCTACCATTCTGTTAATCCAGAATTGGATTAGGCTGTGTTGATATGTAGGGACGCCTGGAGATTTTGGTGTGCTGTAATAGCATGCCTTGTTTCCATCACCTGCGATGAAGTCAACTTGATATCTGGCACACTCAAAAGCCATAACAGCTAAGCATTCACCAACAATCCCAGCAGAGTCTGATGCATACTTCTGTCCGACGTGATAAACGCACACACGTGTCATCCTCATCCTAGCTCTTGTCAAGTCAACAATCTCATTTGTATCTCGGTCCTTTGTCTTTCCCCAAGATACTTCGAAGATTGCCCATGAGACTTGTCGAACTCGTGTGTCGTTGTCATCTGTTTGATATCCAGCAATTTGCTTGATATAGCCATCCTTTCCAAGGCGAGCTGCCACCATCAAGTCATGATAGTCATTGAAGCAAGTTTTAAAGTCAACCTCGTCGAGTCTTTCTCTGTGAGGATACAATGAACCAGCTTCACAATTCATGAAGAGATGTCCTCCAAAGTTCTTGATGACATTGATGAAGTAATTGTTGAACTGTGACTTGGTTTCATCAA